TGGTGGGATCAAGCCTATGGTTCATCTTACAAGGGTACATGTGAATCTTTCTAAATGGAGAATATAAGTGTCTTATTGTGTATAAGAAAATGACATGAAGGCTATGTTAACCAATTTGATAAAAATATTTCAAATTGTATATAAAAACAGCACACTGTACCCCATGACTGTATTAATGTACACAGCTACGATTTAATTAAAAAATCTTTAAATAGCGCCTGTGGCTCAAATGTACTAGAGTGGCAGGTTCAAAAACTGAAAAAAAAAAAAATCTTCAAATGAATATCAATAAATCCATACATTCCATTGCTAGGAATTTACACTCATGTAGAAAAATAAATGAAACACATAAAATTGCTTCATATAAGGATGTTCACTGCAATGTTGGTTATTGAGAAACTACAAATATAACTGCCCTTCAACAAAAAGTTAACTAAATAAACCATGGAATATTTATGTTAGAATACCACATAACAATTTAAAAAGATGGTATACACAGACACACGTGTAACATTCATTGACATAAAAGAATGACATTCTATGAGAAACAGGGATGTTAGCATAGTACTATTCATATAAAATTGTATAGGGGGAGACTGTTATACGTCTGCAAAGGTGGAGACCAAATGTTACCAGTGGTTGCTGCCTGAGCAGTGGGACTAGGGGTGATTTTTTCCTTTCTCCTTATATTTCCTGTATTGTTTAATTCTTTATCATATGTGTTATACTCATATTGAAAAAAAAGCTATTTTATTTTTTTAATTTAATTTTTATATATTTTTTAATAGAGACAGGATCTCACTACATTACTCAGGCTGGTCTCAAATTCTTGGTCTCAAGTGATCCTCCTGCCTTGGTGTCCCAAAATGCTGGGATTACATGCAGGAACCACTATACCTGGCCATTATTTTCATTTTGAAAGAAATAAAAATAAAGAAATACGGAACTAAAAATCAAACCAGGAGATTAGAAATCAACAATATTAAAAAGTTACCTACCAAAGCATTTTCTGCAATGTCAGCTTGGAAAAGCTTTCCAATAGTTTCCTGCAATGAAATAATTAAAAGCTGATCAGAAGATATGAAAACAAATAAGCCCTGTAGTGAATATAATAATTGTTAAAATTTCTGAAGGAGAAAGTATTAATTATAGATTAATTTTGACCTTTGTAAGGGTATTTTTCTGTATAACACCAGTATGGTACACAAATACCTTTATTAATGTATTTGTTAAGTTATACAGATTTAAACATTCAGCAAATACTTTATTTGATACATTTAACCATATTAAATACAATAGAGAACACAGGCATGAAAAATCAACATCTTGCATTTACTCTAGTGTATAAACTATTCCTGTGGGTTAATTTTTCCCTGACATAATATGCTGACAACTATTTTCCTCACTCTTGGGCCACAGTGGACCTGGAATGGGTTTCCTGCCTTTTGGAAAGACTTACCTACACAGAGACGTGGGGGTGGGGCTTAAGTGGTTACATTTTCCCACTGACACTCTCTTCCTTCCAAGAGGAAAGGGGACTGTGCTATCTCTGTCTTAGAAAAACACTTTCTCCTTGGCTCTCTTTTCTCCAGGATCCTGCTCCCTCTATCAATCTTCATTCTTTAGCTTCTATATCTCTTTCTTTCACCTTACAACAAGCACAAGCCTCCCACTGTGAAAAATCTCACTTCTAAGCACCTGAGATCTTTGGTAATCCACAATGCTACCTCTTACTAAAGTCTTTCTCTCCACATCCTTGGTCACCTATCTTCCCTTTCACTTCCCTCTCCTAATACTCGCTCTAAAGATCACTAACAGCCAAATCATTAAATACAGTAGTCTGTCTCAGTCCTGTTTCATCTGACCTCTTCAAAGCACAGCACTATGGATGGTCTCCTAGACACTTCTTCAATACTTTCCATGCTGGCTTCCCTCTTCCATCAGAGAAGCAATCTTTTTTACTTTACCAGAACCTGCTTCCTAAAGAAATTCCCTGTTCACAATTTGGAAAGGATATACCCTACCATTACCTGGTCACTGCTGATTATTGAAGACAACTGGTATGCAGGTTCTCAAAAAAAAAAAAAAGAGAGAGAGAGAGAGAAAAGAAGAAATAGTGCCCTGAGTTATACCATTTGCTGATTTCTATGGCATAACTATTCTGACAACAATGGATTTCATACTACTAACATGATGTTGCTAAATAGAGAGCCAAGAAGAGATGTGCACAAGCCAGCTCCAACACACTTTCTCGGGGGGTGAAGAATTTGGCCAATCAACTGTCCCTGTCTCTCACTTAAAAATCTGAACTAGGAGACTCAGAAATAGTAGCAGAGGTCCCTAGAGTTGTGCAGTGTGTAGATGTTGGAATACAGGCAATGGTGTACTGTAAATGTTTTAATAACTGGCTCTTGGCAGAGGACTGCTTTGTAGCATTTGCCAACTTCCATGTATAAATACTCCCACCATCATTCACTTCAAATTAGCAACACGATGTCACAGAGCTGGAAAGAGATGCTAACAATCAGGTCTTATGAGCTGGTATAAACAACTCCAGCTCACCACTGGATATAGGGTATACATACGGGAGCCACACACTAGAACACTAAGCGATAGTCTACGGGGAGAAAAGAGAATGGAAGCAACCATGCAGCGTCCATGTAATACCAGAGAACATGTGAATGAACACAAGGGCCTTTGTTCTGACATTTCAAAGTCCTGATCCCTTATGAGGTATGAAAGCTTTGAGGTAACAAATGTCCCTATATTTAAACTGACTTCAGCAGATTTCTGCTTCTTACAGTGAAAAGACACCTTCCTAAGAGACCTTTTCCAACTTTCCTACTGTTCCCAGTATCCTTGTTGGTTCTTCCTCATGTTCTCACCTTTCATGACAACTATGGAAGTTTCTTTAATATATTCCTGCCCCAGAAAGTTTACCTATTTTATGGCATCAGTTGCACCTCTGAAAGAGACCTACAAATGACAATTGCTTCCCCTTTGCCAGACTTACCTTGTCTCACTTAATCCTCTCACCTACCTTTTAAGATAAGTATTACTGCTTTTCATTTCACAGAAGTCTGAAAAGACTGGATAAGTGATCCATGGGTACATAGACAGTAGCAAGTGACAGAGCTGAATTTTGAACCTCTATCTGACATCAAGTCAACACTATTAACCTCAATATCCCCACTCTAGTACCACATTTCCAGCTACCTGTTAGTAACACAAATATATGCCACTATCACCTCAAACTCAATGTATGTAAAGTAGGAATGATCCCTTGCTCCTTGCCCCACCACATCTCCTGACTTCTTCCAGTCAGTAAAGGCCTAACTTTAAAGTTACCTGGCATTTATTCACACAGTGGTCATTTACTAAATCTTCATTTTACGTTCCAGGTACTATGATTTAGCAGTGAACAAAAATGAACCAGTCCAATAAAAGACAGACACCAAATAAGCATATATCAGAGTCTAATAAGTGCTACAGAAACAAAGGAGCAACAAGCCAGCAAAGAGTAGGGGTGCTGCTTTCTAGTCAGAGAGGGCAGCTTTGATGTCATGTGAGCAAAGACTTGACAGGTCAGGAAACAGGCCACACAGGAATCTCAGAGAAGGAGCACAAAGAACAAGTCTGAGGCGAAGCCCTAGCCTGCCTGAAAGACAGCACAGACGACAGGGCTGCTGAAAAGCAGGAAGTGAGAGGAAGGAAATATGGTCAGAGTCAAGACGAAAAACCAGATCACAGCCTTATGGCATAACACTCTGAATTGTTACTAAGTTAGATGAGAAGCCAAGAATTCAGAGCAGAGAATTGACAATAACTGATCTGTGTTTTTTGGTTTTTTTTTTTTTTTTTTTTGAGACGGAGCCTCAAGCTGTCCCCCTGGGTAGAGTGCCATGGCATCACACTCACAGCAACCTCCAACTCCTGGGCTCAAGCGAGTCTCCTGCCTCAGCCTCCCAAGTAGCTGGGACTACAGGCGCCCACCACAGCGCCTGGCCATTTTTTGGTTGCAGCCATCATTGTTGTCTGGCGGGCCCGGACTGGGGATTCGAGCTCGCCACCTTAGGTGTATGTGGCTGGCGCCTTAGCCGCTTGAGCCACAGGCGCCGAGCCCTGATCTGTGTTTTAAAAGAATTACTTGTCTAAAAACTGACTGTTAAGGGCAAAGTTAGGAGCAGGGAGACCAACAGGCTACCCCAATAATCTAGACAAGAGGTGACAGTAGCTTGGACAATAAGGTAACAGTGAAGGTGCTAAGAAGTAGTAGAGTTATGAATATATATTGAAATCTAGATAATATGCATTTGCTGGCTGGGCACGGTGGCTCACACCTGTAATCCTAGCACTCCGGGAGGACTAGGCCAGTAGATTGCTTGAGTTCATGAGTTCAAGACCAGCCTAAGCAAGAGTGAGGCCCCATCTCTACTAAAAATAGAAAAAACTAGCCAGATGTTGTAGTGCATGCCTATAGTCCCAGCTACTCAAGGAGACTGAGACAAGAAGATTATTTGAGCCTAAGGGTTTGGGGTTACTGTGAGCTACGATGCCACCGCACTCTACCAAGGGCAGTGAAGTGAGACTCTGTCACAAAAAAAAAAAAATAAAAAAAAATAATAATAATAATATTTGCTGATGAATTCAATATGGGAGGGACTCAAGAAGAATCAATAAATATGGTTTTTGGCCTGAGTGACAAAAAGAATGGGTTTGCCTTGCCCACCATATCTGATCAGTCATTAAGTTTTGTTGATTCTACTAGATTAGGCCTTTATTTCTCACCACCACCACCACCTTTAACAGAATCTCACTTTGTCACCCTCAGTTGAGTGCTATGGAGTCTTAGCTCAGCAACCTCAAACTCTTGGGCTCAAGCGATTCTCTTGCCTCAGCCTCCCAAGCAGCAAGGACTATTGGTGCCCGCCACAATGCCTGGGTATTTTTAGAGACCAAGTCTCACTCTTGCTCAGGCTGGTCTCAAAGTCCTGAGTTCAGGAGGATCTACCCTGCCTCAGCCTCCCAGAGTGCTAGGATTATAGGCACGAGCCACCAGCTTTCAATCCTTCTAACATACCATCTTCAAATTAACTTTGCTACAACATCACTATATCACACCCTATAGTGATCTACCTCTGTGCCTTTCCTTGTGCCATGCTGACTTTCAATGCTATGAACAATCAACCCAAAGTCTTTAAAATCCCAGGTCAGATTCTATACCCTCTGAGAAGCATCAGGCATATAAACCTCTACTGCTTTTTCCTTTTTCTTAACTCCTATTGCACTTGAATGACTGCCATTTTTGTAGCACTTACTATTTCTTCAATAAGCCTTGCCCCCTTCCCTAGCCTGGGCCAAATATTTGTTTTCTCTATTTATATAGAAATCATACTTTAATGTTCACATCTAACACAGTGTCGTATACATAGCAGCCAAAAGAATGAAAGAAAAATTAAAAAAAAAAAAAGAATAAATGAATGTCTCTATGGCCTGAATTAGAAAGTATAAAATAGAATAGTATGAGTATTAATAAAGGCTACTTAAATTTAGTCACACAAAAATTTCTAACCAACTTACGAAATTAATACTTTTCTAGCTAAAAAAATGAGCTTAATCACATTTTCTGCCTGAACGTCATCTGGTTTTTATTGTGAATCATCAAAAATGTCTGAAGAGATGTATATCTTATTTTTCCTCTGAAACTGTTTTATATAGTGTTTCTATAGAGTCAAAGAAATTATGTATCTACAGAAACACTATATAAAACAGTTTCAGAAGAAAAATCACTTTAAGAACAAAATATTTAACAGTGGAAAAAACCACCACTGGCTCCAACACTTTAAAAAAAAATCAGTAATTCAGGTATAATCAAAATCTAAATATGATACAAATTAAATTGATTAAGCAAGTCTTTCTTTAAAATTAGCCATTTTTATTTTTCAAAGTAAATTAAGTCATCAAGTGTACATACCTTACTCAAATGTTGTGCTATGTAACCTCTTCCACAACCAAGATCCAATGCAAGTGAGAAATCTCTAAAAGACAGACACAGAAGTTATGCTCTGTCTATAATAATAAAGCCCACAAAGAATTAATTTTTTGTAACTAAAAATACTTCAGTACACACAATTTCAGGAAGTCACAACATCTGCTTTTTCTGCTCACCTCACAAGCTGTATCTCCCAGAGAGCACACTGCATAGAGCAACTGTCTGACCCAGCCATTCATAAGACTTCATAATGAACTAGCTTTCCATAAGGTAACGCCAGATGCAGATTTGAAGAGCAGATTTAATGTGGGTATTTTAATTTAACAATACATCCGGGTAAAGCATAAGAAGAAGTTAATGTAAATTAACACAAAAACAATTGATGTACTTATTAGGAACTTAATAATTATCCTTACTTACCAAATTTGTTGAAGCAGCAGAACACTTAGAAATCATTAACTAGTATGTTGAACTTAAAAAAAACCTAAATCATAGCTAATTTTACTGAAAACTAACCAGGTTCAAAGTATTGTGCTAAATGTCTGAAGCTAAGTAAGCCAACCCAACCTCAGTCTCTTGGCTTCAAGCAATTCTCTGGCCTTAGCCTCCCAAGTAGCTGGGACTATAGGCACCCACCATGATGTCCTGCTAGGTTTTCTATTTTTAGTAGAGATGTGTCTTGCTCTTGCTCAGGCTGGTCTCCTGAGCTCAAGCAATCTATCTACTTCATTCCCTTAGAGTGCTAAGATTACAGGCATGAGCCACCACACCCAGACCAAAACTTGAATTTAATCAGTTTAAACCCTGAATCAGAACTATTATCCTGTATGCTACGTTGACTCCTGTAAATACATCAAGTTATACGAAATCAGTAAATGTATGTAACTGTGGACTAATAGGTTTAAGAATAATTTATGACAAGAAAGCTGAGAATACTAATTGCACTAATAATTAGCACTACTGTGGTAATATTTTCCCAGAAACACTAAAATAAAGAGATAGAGTCCCCGTTCAATTTCTATTAAAATTCTAGGTTAAAATTATAGAATACCAGCACACAACTGGCGAACCCTTAGCAACAGATAACCATTTATTATCTAATACCCTCTATCATTATGACAAACGCAGGCAATACAGCACACAGGCTTTAGAACTAGAAAGACATAAGTTAGGATTCTAGGCCTATAATTTACTGGCCCTATGATCACAGACAAGTGACTTCATCTTGGTGGGCCTCAGTTTCCTCATCTATAAAATGGAAACATTATTGCCTGCCTCAGTGTTGGTGTGAGAATTACATGAAATAGTGCACATATTTACTACAGTGTGTTTAACAAACCAGTTATTAGTTATATTATCACTGATTATAACCGTATTAAGTGGGACTTTGATCTCACAAATAAGACATTTGAAAATCAGCAAACGATCAGTGTTGACAACATAAACTAATATTTCTAGGAAGATAATACTAATACAAGGATATTTAGACTAGTAATTTAATTTCAAAGAGTTAATGGTCTCTCTGTCGACTTACGTGTATTTCACTCAACACTATAACATAAAGGTATGATAAAATCCAGGCTGATTTGCAAAATTTAGTATTTCACTTATTAAATCATAAATGACCTATAATCCAGATGAATGATTACAGTAATCATTTTTCAGATCTTTAAAATAATGGAACTAATGAAACAAATAAAATATGGGTGCCTATTTGCAACAATGAAGCACTGATTTTTTTAACCTTACAAAACTGATGCATACCCAGACTCTTTTAGTTGGCAAAGATTCATCTAAAATACAGCTGAGTTTCTAATTTTACAAAATTCCCTTTTCATAGAGAAATGTAATAAATTAGCCATATTTTGGTCTAATTCAATGGATATCTTTTAGCCAAAAGAACACAAAAAGAATAATGCATTAATATCACAGAGTAATTCTATTGCAAAGCCATTATTTGACTATGGGTCTCACATCTGTTAAGCTTTGATTATGTCTAATATATAGAACAATGAATCCATCAAGGTTTCAGTAATTTTTAACAGTGTTCTTTTCTCAAGTTCACCTATACATAATTGTCATAGAAACTTTACAACCATTAGCGATGCCAAAGTCTCATAGAACATAGAACCTGATTGGAGAACAAAGCTAGGAAGATTCTCTCCTTCACTTTAATAGTAAAAGAGTCTGCTGCTAATTTTAAACTTTTAAACCTAAGTTTAGTAAATCTCAAAAATTCACCTAAAAATTCACATGTAGTCAATTCTTGATCTTCATTTTTTGAGCAATCTTTCTATTACAAGCTTTTGGCCAAATCAAGTGGGTTAGTCATTCATTCACAGTTACAAGTTGGGCATCCATACTCATATATATATATTTTTTTTAAGTAACAAAGAAGAAAAGACCATTTGCTCTCCCAGACAAGAAAAAAAGGAGACCTACAAAGTAATTCAAATCATCAATCCTGATAATAAATTCCTCCAGATTCTGCCATTCCAGATATCAAGCACTTAGTATTTAATATCTTTTGAGTTTCCACTCAATAGATGATTGTATTTTATTATAGTTAATGATCACTCACCTGGCTATGTCACATACACGGTCAGCAATCCGACTTCCAACCTGAAGGATTACAAGAAGGTACACAAGTTAAAATAAGTGAGTTAACGGAGTATTCAACAATCCATAGGTTACTTAAATACTTCCCTTTACCTCTTTTTCTATTCCACCACAGCAAGTTTCTTTTCAAATCCTGAATAGGAACATAATAAATTAAAATATACCTAGAAAATAAAGAAGGCAAATTGCAACTTAATGAAATCAAGACTAAACACACACACACCCATTTTTGGTCTTTACATTCCGTGCAATGCACGCATCATAAGAGCGAAAAAACAACAGGAACACAATAGGTCCATTTCTGTCCATAGACTTGAGCATGAGGTATACTTACATGTGAAAGTAAAAAATTTAATTTGCTGGGATTTATTACAGATCAATATATAAGTGGCCACTTAATAAAAACTATTATTTGATAACTACTAACAAATTTTGTGGAGCTCCTAAATGAGTAAATAACTTTTTTAAGCAACATTTATAAGTTAGAAAAAGACAAATCTAAATAAAGTACACCTCCCCCTTCCCCAATTCCACTCCAATTATAAAAAAGTCATAAGGTAGATACTACTACCTTTTGCTAGGCTTGCTTCAAGTAGCAGAAATAAAGCCATGAGCTCTAATACTCCCACATTCTACTCATTTCCTCATAAACATCCTAGAGTTGCTGTTAGGACTTGAAAGTTCCAAACAGAGACGTGTTTACTTTGGGGCAAGAGGGAAGGGAAGGAGGTATTGTAGATTTCTTTCCCCAGGAGTTTACTTTATACATCATTCCTTTTTTTTTTTTTTTTTTAAAGACAGAGTCTCACTTTGTTACCCTCTGTAGAGTGCTGTAGCATTGCAGCTCACAGCAACCTCCAGCTCTTGGGCTTAGGTGATTCTCTTGCCTCAACCTCCCAAGTAGCTGGGACTACAGCCGCCCATCACAACACCCAGGTATTTTTTTGTTGTTGTTGCAGTTTGGCCAGGGCTGGGTTTGAACCCACCACCCTCGGTATATGGGGCCGGCACCCTACATAGATGCCACCCCATTCCTAATATTTTTTACTATGAAAAGACCTATACTGTGAAAAGAACTCTCACACACTTTATCTCATTTATTCTACTTCTGCATTTTGGCAAGGCCCAGTCATCCACATCTAAGCATATGACATCATGAACCTCTCCTGAGGAAACTAGCAGTGTAGTGAGTGCACCATCCCTTACAAACGAGATACAGAAAATTTATTGATAGCTTACTATCTCTATAATAGACCTTATCAGCCTCTGAGCAGTTGTCTCCTCTATGCCTTCCTGAAAACACACTGTCAATCACCTAATCTGGCGAGTGCTTGCACATAGCTCTGGTCAATGTAGAAGCTCAATAAACGTTTCTTGTGTTGACCTGAAAGAGCTTGACATCCACTTTGTTCCGCTGCTGAGGCCTGAGCTCAGTGGTATGTATCTTAAAAAGTAGAAATCCTCAGTCTCTAGCTTACCTAGCCTAAGAGAAAGAGGTTGCAGATCTTAATTTGATTTTCCTAAAACATACATCTACTTTCCTTTTACAGTGCAAGTCACTGAAATCCAGTGTACTTTATACACTTGAAATACATCTCAATTGGACTAGTCACATTTCAAGCACTCACCAGCCACATGTGGCCAGCAGTTACCATACCAGATGGAGAAGAAAACCCAAAGTCCCTACCCTGAAAGGCCCAATGCCCTGAGCCCTCCTAACCTCCTCTCACTCTCTCGAGCTTCACTGGAGGCCTCCACGAGGTCCTTTCGGCCTGGAGGGCTTTGCACTCGTCCTTCTCTTTGCCTATGTGCACCCCCCCACACACACACACGCATTACAGCTTGGCCAATCCCTCATCATGTTGTCTTCCGGAGGGGCCTTCCTGGACCAGCGCAGTCACTGCATCGCTTTGCTTTATTTTTCTCATGTTACTTCTTTCCTGAAATTACGTTCCTTGCCTACTGTCTGCCTCACACCACCCCCTGGTATGAAAGTCTATGAGAATAACTCAAGCAATATTTATTGAGTGAGTAAATGCATGAATGAATGAAAAGCACGTTACGAATATCTGGGCCCAGCCCGTCGGTGATCATAGCAGAGGACGAGGAGGCAGGGCTCCCGGTCAAGGTCAGACGGCGAGGTGGGTGTCGGTCCGGGCCCAGCCAGAGCTCCCGGACGCCGAGGCATCGCTCGGCGCCGCTCTGCCCCCCTGTCCCGCGGTCTCACCTCTTCCTTCAGGTAGTCAAACTTCACCGGCTCGGGCTGCCGGGCCGCCCAGTTCTTCTGTTTCCTCTTCAAATCCCGGTCGAAGATATTTAGGGCTCTGGGCGAGGTGCTGCCGGGAAGAGAGACGCCAGACGCGACCCGCCTATGGCCCAGGCTCTCCGCGGGAAGCCCCGCCGCCCAAAGTCGCCACCACATACGCCAAAGGCCCACCGGCCACAGCATTTCCAGCGGTGACACCACTTGCCGGCGTTTTTTGTCGTGCGCATGCGCCTGCGCATTTTCGGTAACCACGTTAGAGAGCTTCCCAGAGGGAAAATTGATTGCAAGTAATTTGGTCCAGTTCGCTTGCCGTTACGGCGGAGCGTCTCGCGGAGGATTATGGGTGTGGGTGCCACTTGAGGCTGTGAGAGGGATCCTGGGCGGTGAGTCGCTGTAGTCTCGCGCAGAAGGGCTCTAGAGCGGACAGAACTAGGCTTTCGCGAGGTCGCCTTCGGAATCGTAAAGGGTTCGCCACTTCTTCCTTGCATTTCTGGCCTCATTCTTCCGACTTTACTGGGTCTTCCTCGTCGCTTCTCAAGAGACCTCAGCCCAGTAGCTGTCCCCTGAGGTTTGGGAGGAGAGAAGACTTTCGTTCCCGGGGCCGTCTGGTATTCATCACCGTGCAGGTAGGAGGGTAGGGTGGGCTGCAGGGATGAGGACTTGTGTTAGAGGTGAGGTCGTGTCGTGTTCTCTCTCGGAATCCCAGATGTTTATCGAGTGCTTTTGAGCTAAACAGAAGACGTGCGTTACCTTCGTTAATTGCATGAGCTTATACCTACCCTCGTATGGCTGTTCTGAGGGCTTGGTGCTGTAATACATCTAAAGCGTATATAATTCGTCAGTGAAACCTTTGATATTTTCCTGGTTGGTTTATAAAAGAGTTGTTTTCAAGTTTAAAAAGTACAGCTTTTTAGTCAGGCCTTGTTTTTCAAATAAAGAAATACCGCCCTGACTAATCAGTGTATTTTTGCCCTTTATTATCAGTGATTTTTGGGTTTTTGCAAAGTTCAAACCCAAAGATGCTAAACTCTTAGGGACTATGTACAAAAGAGCTCATTTATGCACACAGATATGTATATTCAAAAATGGGGGGGCGTGTCAGCTTATTTTAGCCTTAGTCACTTACAAAGTAAGAAAAAAGTGATGTTTATTAACTGGACTGAGACTTTACCTGGAGCCTTCTTTACCTTTGAAGCATGGCTGAGTTTAAAGAGGAAACTTTGTGAATGAACCCTGAATTGATTTTGGATGGTTTACTTAGAGACTAGCCTTATAGAACTAAAGGCTGTTAAGAGTAGCAGGAGGTAAGGATTTACAGAGAAAATGGGAGCAGAATGTGAAGAAATAAATGAGATCAACTATGCTTAGTAACCTTTTAATTATATAGAAATTAAAAGTACAATGAGCTAGTAAACATTTGTCCTCCTCCAGATAGCCCTGGAATTCTTCATGGTTTGCCTTAAATTTATCTCTGTATGTGATCTGTAATGGGAAGAGGATATTTTTGTGTTTTTGCTTTTCTGCATATTATCCAGAATGATTTGAGAAGATAAAAATAGATTTGAGTTATCTTTATTTTATATACATTTAACTAAAAATGTGTTTTGAGCTGACATGTTTTAAAAAAACGTTTAAGTGTATTAACCATTTATTATTGTAATATTTGTGTTTTTTTTAGTGTATTTGGTTTCTGCAAGAATTTGTTCAAGACATTTAAAAATGTCGTCCAAACAAGAAATAATGAGTGACCAGAGGTTTAGACAGGTTGCCAAGGACCCAAGATTTTGGGAAATGCCAGAAAAGGACCGAAAAGTCAAAATTGACAAGAGATTTCGAGCCATGTTTCATGACAAAAAGTTTAAGTTGAACTATGCTGTGGATAAAAGAGGACACCCAATCAACCATAGCACTACAGAAGATTTAAAACGTTTTTATGACCTTTCAGATTCTGATTCTGATCTTTCCGACGACGATAGCAAAACATTTAATCAAAAGAAAATAAAGAACAAAAAAACCCAGATGAAAAAGGAAGTAGATCCAAAAAATCTGTTTGAGAAAAAGAAAGAAACCAAGAAAGTTAATCAAAAGGATTTGGAAAATAAAAGTGTTTTAGATAATTCTGAAAGAATTCAGAAAATGAAAAACGCATGTAAATCTAAGGTAGATTCAAAAACAAGTCCAAAGAAGGACAGCAAAAATTTTACCCAAAAAAATAAACGAGAGGAAAAAAACATTGTTCAACATAATACAGATTCTTGTCCCAAAAGAAAACTAAGGACAGTAGACTCTGGCACCT